TCAAATCACGTCCGATTTACCTTAAATTTTGTGCACAAGTCATAAATGATATAACGGAGGTACTCAAATTTTCAGAATTGAATTTCGACCCCGATATCAAAAAGTCAACCCCTCGGTCAAACTTCCCAAAAATTCAACTTTCGGCATTTCAAGCCTAATTCCACTACGAACTTCCAAATAAAATTCCGATCACGCTCCTAAGTCCAAAATCACCATACAGAGCTGTTGGGATCATCAAAATTCTATTCCGGGGTCATTTGCACATAATTCGACATCCGGTTACTATTTGAACTTAAACTTTTAATTTTTCATCAAAATTCCATATCTCGGGCTAGAGACCTCGGAATTTGATTCTGGGCATACGTCCAAGTCCCAATTCACGATACGGACCTACTGGAACTGTCAAAACACTGATCCGAGTCCGTTTACTCAAAATATTGACCAAAGTCAACTCAGTTGAATTTTAAAGCTCAAATTCATATTTTAATCCATTTTCACATACAAACTTTCCGAAAAATTTTACGGACTGCGCACGCAAGTCGAGTAATGATAAATAATGTTTTTTTTGAGGTATTAGAATACATAATTAATTATTAAATTTAAAGATAATATTTTGGGTCATCACACCACTAGTCTCGCACTTGCGCCCACAGGCTAGGCCTCTCCAAACTGCACCTGCGCTCCTCCTTCTGCACATGCGAGTCTGCACTTGCAGTCACTCCACCGCGGGAGCAATTACACCAGAAGGTTGAAAGCTTCAGCTACTCACACAAATCCAATTTCGATTCGTTAAGCATCCGAAACTCACCCGAGGCCCGCGGGACCTCAACCAAATATACCAACAAGTCCTAAAACACCATACAAACTTAGGTAAGCCCTCAAAACACATCAAACAATAACTAAAACATGAATCACCCTCCAATCCAAACATAATGAACTTTGAAACTTTAAACGTCTACAACCGATGTCGAAACCTACCAAACCACGTCCGATTGACCTCAAATTTTGCACACAAGTCATATTTGATAATACAAACCTGCTACAACTTCCGAAATCAGAATCTAACCCCGATATCAAAAAGTCCACTTCCGGTCAAACTTCCCAAAAATTCAACTATCGCCATTTCAAGCATAATTCAGCTACGGACCTCCAATTCACAATCCGGATACGCTCCTAAATCCTAAATCACCCAACGGAGCTAATAGAACTGACAAAAATTCTAGAACTTAAACTTTTGTTTGAAGGACTAAATGTCCCTAATCACTCTGTAACCACAAACAGAACCTCCCAGCAAGTAACATAAGTAGAAAACGATGCGGGGGAAGCAGTAAATTGGGGATCAGGGCTAATACTCCCAAAATGACCGGCCGTGTCATTACAATAACTCATTGGTTGATATAAAGGTTGGATTTTGGATTTCGAAAATTTGAACAACTTTATTATGTCGTTTAAGACTCGTGTGCAAAATTTGAACTCATAATTCAATTCGATACGCGATTCATAATTTCGGCATTGTTTGACGTGGTTTGAGGTCTCGACTAAGTCCGTATTGTATTTTTGTATGTGTTGGTATATTTGGTTAACTTGCCGAGGGCCTCGGGTGGATTTCGGAAGGTTAACAGATTGATTTTTGTACTTGAAGGAACTGTTAGAAATCTGCTGCTGGTGTCTTCGCTTTTGCGGAAACTTCATTGCAGAAGCGAACTCGCAGAAGTGAGGTGCTCATCGCGGAAGCGATCATGGAAGGCTGCTGGAGAGGCATCGCAGAACCAGAAAACTCCATGCTTCTGCGGCTTCGCAGAAACGACACAATGATCGCAGAAGCGGTTCATTGTGTAGAAGCGAACGCTGACCTCGCACCTGCGATTTTCGCAGAAGCGGAAATGATCCCGCATATGCGAGGGGTCGACTGGGTAGTGCACTTTGTAGGTGCGCATCTGCGGTCGCAAAAGAGAGTCTGCAGATGTGATAGCCTGTCCGCAGAAGCAAAAATCAGATAGAAACTTAAGGATTGAAAATATGTCATTTCTTCATTTTCGATTGGAACTTTTTGAGTTCGGTTCTTGGGCCATTTTGGGGATTTATTCATGACTTCGATTGGGGTATGTATTCTACATCCGATAGTGATTATATTTGATAAATCCATGGTTATATTCATCGTTTAATTTGAGTTGTAATGGAGGAAATTGAGATTTTTGTAAAATTTTCCAAAAATAGGAATTCAAGATTTGTAGGATGATTTGTTATTGGAATTCGATAAAATTGGTATGGTTGAACTCGTATCGGAATGGGTATTTGGGTTTTGATAAAATTATGTCGGGTTCCGAGAGGTGGGCCCCGCATTGACTTTTGGTTGACTTTTTAATATAAAATTTTAAGTCAACGCTTTATTATTTGAAATTGTTTCCGAAGAATTTTAATGAAGATATATAATTAATTTGGATAGATTTGAGCTGTTTGGAGGTCAATTCAAGAAAGAAGGCTATTTTAGAATATCGGCCTAACTTCGTTAAGGTAAGTGTCTTGTCTCACTTTGTGTGGGGGAAACCACCCCTTAGGAATTGGGATGATTGTGTCATTCGTGTTATGTGAACGTCGTGTGCTCGAGGTGACAAGTAGGTACACAACCTATATGTGATATTTGACCCGTTTAGACCGTTAGGATCCTTTTATACAATTGATTATAAATATCGTTTCATGATTATATCTTTTGTTGTTAGAATTGTTTGTACGTGCTTTACTTGAGATTGTTAGCACATATTCCATCCTTGTTGTCAAGTTCACCCTTATATGCTAATTGTTGATTCTAATCATTCGTTGAATTCATGCTTTACCTGTTACATGCCTTAATTGTTAATTGATGCTCATAAATTGTGCCTTGGCTTTTGGATTGACATTTCCTTGTTATTTGATTTTGTGAGCTATCGTGTAGCCTTTTTCATTAGTTGTGATTTTTTTGTGTAGCCTCGTCATTTCTCTTAATTTTGTGGTATGCCGTAGTTGGTTGTAAATTGGTTGGTAATTATTAAGAGGGATCGGGCTGCACGCTGCGACATATATAATTTAATATTGTGTTGGATCGGATTGCACGCCGCAACAGATATGATTTAATATTGAGTGCGATTGGGTTACGCGCCGCAACAAATATGATTTAATATTGAGTGGGATCGGATTGCACACCGCAAAGATATGATTCAATATTGAGTGGGATCGGGTTGCGCGCCGCAACATATATGATTTAATATTTAGTGGGATCGGGTTGCACGCCGCAACAGATATAATTTAATATTTAGTGGGATCGGGTTGCATGCCGCAACAGATATGATTATTATTGAGAGGGATCGGGTTGCACGCCACAACAAATATGATTATTATTGTGAAGGATCGGGTTGCACGCCGCAACAGATATAATTTAATATTTAGTGGGATCGGGTTGCACGCCGCAACAGATATAATTTAATATTTAGTGGGATCGGGTTGCATGCCGCAACAGATATGATTATTATTGAGAGGGATCGGGTTGCACGCCACAACAAATATGATTATTATTGTGAAGGATCGGGTTGCACGCCGCAACAAATGTACAAATATGAAATTATTGTGATATTAAGGTTAATTTCGATTGTGATTCTCACTATGCATTTCATGCTAGGATGGCTACTGTGGTTCCTTAAATCACCTCATTATATTTTGGCTATAATTAATTAACCGTCAATATATTAAAAATAGAACAATATGGACTTCTTGTGTGAGTCATGCATCCTATGTGATGTGTTAAGTTGCTGAGTATTTTAGCAGAGGTAAATGAAAGAATTTTCTTTCTATTCCACTTGTGTGTCTTTCAAAAATAAAAACTCATATCTTGTTCGAAGATCTACTAATTTAAATAGTGATTATATTGTTACTCTAATTGATACCTCAACTTCCTCATTATCATATTGTCCTATAATTATGTGAAAAATTGATAATACGTTTTACTTTAATAAAACCCATATTTATCTCGTTAAAATTTGATTGAATGTCTTAATTTGTATAAATACAATATTATATTGGATCTCATATTTTTCTAAAATAAACTCAATTGATATTCTATTTGCACAACCTCTCTACTATTTAACCTTATTTAAATCCTAAATTCTCTTAATGACTCATTTGATGCTTCACTGTATTTCATTTGGAAATTGTATTTAATTGTATTTAAATTATTCATTGGTCATCCTGGTTGATATTGATACGGAAACTATACACATAGTAGCACAGGGATTTTGACGTCAAAAAGTGATTCGGAAAGATGTGGGCACAAGATGCCACATGTGTAAGAATTGGAAGTTGTTAATCTTGAATTGAGATTTCGAGGAGTGATACCTCGGGTAATTTATGTTGAAATACAAGCATTATAAATAATTTAATTGATTGATTTGTTATATGATTACTTACTTGAACCCATTCATATGTTATTTGTACTCTGACTATGTTGTTGCTCAATCAATTGATTGTTTTCTTGTTGCCATCCGTGTTCTCATTGTTCTCATTGTTGATTTCAATTGGAAATTCTTATGTTATTGGCTTTACATTGATATTATTTTCTTGTTAGATTTATGTAACATTTTGTACAGGTTTATATGTCCAATAGGTGCCATGACCTGGCCTCGTCACTACTCTACCGAGGTTAAGCTTGATACTTACTGGGTACCGCTGTGGTGTACTCATACTATGCTTTTGCACATCTTTTTATGCCGATCCAGTACCCCCAGATTTATTGATATTCTTGTTAGTTGATCGAGAATTGTTATGGAGACTCAAGGTGTCACGACCCAAATTCTCTAATAGGCCGTGATGGAGCCCAACGTTACCGCTAGGCAAGTCAACGTTGAACTAACCTTATGATTGTTTCTTTTAACATTTCAAAAATAGCTGATTTTTAATTAGCGCATAAATAAGAAGTTAGAATTTACTAAGATGAGCGATAATAAATTTTAAGAACAAATGAGATAAGTAAATATAAAAAAAGAAGAAGATAATCATGTGTCTACTAGAATCATGTGTCACAAGTGTATGAGCTACTAGTAGAACATACAAAAATACTACACTACTGTTTGAAGTAAAATAGACAAAAAGTAAAAACAAAAGGAAGATTTCGGGTGCTACAGAACGGGCTCGAAAGACAGCTCACCGCTAAGTCTCGAAGAAATCAAGGATGCGCGCCGAACTGATAGCCTGATACACCTGCCTCAGATCCTGCATGATTAGTGCAGAACTGTAGCGTCAGTACATAAACAACATGTACCCAGAAAGTATATAGTCTAATCTCGAAGAAGTAGTGACGAGGGGTCGACTTCGACACTTACTATGGGCTAACAATAAATACCGAAATTATAATTAAACATGGATTATAAGAATACAACCGAAAACTCAATAAGAAGGAATAAATAAATAATTTTTTCACTAATAGTAAATCCCAATTTTATTTTCATCATTTAACATATTAATCTCTCAAGCCAATGAAACAATATCAATTACAATTGGGCTCCAAGAATTCTTTTTGCACGAATTATGCCGAGGTCGTACGGCCCGATCCAACATACAAATATATAAAATGTGCACTGCCGAGGGTCAAACGGCACGAACCATAGATGCATCTATTCTATTACCAAGGCATTCGGCCCGATCCACAAGAAGAGAAAATACTTTATAAAAAATCGATTCAAAGATTATTAAGAGGCTATTATTCAAATAAAACACCAATTCTCATTAATAGTCAAGTAACCCGTCCAAAACTCAAGTAAATGCAATTCGGCTTTTTACAATTCCTTTATCAAGTTCCAATATGGTTTAGACACTTAGATTTACAAGTAAGGTACAAACATCGCAAGTATAACTAGTATAACATGATTTGTGTCCTAAACTACCCGGACATAAGCATAACTAGTAGCTACGTACGGACTCTCGTCACCTCATGCGTACGCAACCCCCACAAATAGAAGACCATATTAATTCAATTCACCTATGGGGTTAATTCCCTATTACAAGGTTAGAAAAGAGACTTACCTCATCTCAAAGCTTATTTTCCAGTCCACAAATGTGCTTTAAACCCTCAACTCGGTGCCAAACGACTCAAAACTAGTCAAATATTATATAAAATCATCAATACATGCTCAAAAGTTCATATTCTAGCTATTAAAGTGGTTACCCAATCCCAATTGAAGAATTTCTAAAATTCATCCCCGGGCCCACGTGCCCGGATTCCGGAACTTTTCGAAGAAAGTTATTACCCATCACCTCATGAACTCGAATATGTGATTTTCACTAATTTTCATAACCATTTTCGTGGTTAAATCCCGTTTTTATATAAAACAAAATTTAGGTTTTTCATCTCAACCCATGATTTCACTAATTTTACATGTTAAATCTACCCATAATCTATGTATTTAACTCACATTGTGTAGAAATTATTTACCTCAAAGTCTTACCTCTCTAAGAACTCCAAATATTGCCCAAGGAATGCAATAAATGAGCTTAAAATGCCTAAGTCCCGACTTAAATGAAGTGTTCTGCCTTCTACGATTTTTGCATCTGCCATCAAGGGTACGCATTTGCAGAACCAAGCCCGCTTCTGCGGAACTCCACAGGACTAGCGCTTGCCGCATCTGCAGACGTGTTTCCGCTTTTGCGGTCTCGCTTCTATGACTTCTCACCACATAAGCGGGGTCACTTCTGCGCAAACCCCTTCACTTCTATGGGCCATGTCCAAACTCTCTAAGCTGCTTCTGCAGCCAAAATACCGCATATGCGGGCTCGCACCTGCGGCCCAAAGCTCGCAGGTGTGGGCACACCAGAACTGGTGCACCAGCAACCCTATTGAGTTTTAACTCAATTTGTGTACCGTTCGAATGGCCTTCAGGCCCCCCGAGGACCCACCCAAACATACCAACAAGTTTTAAATCATAAGACAGACTTTCTCGCACCCTCGGAACGCGTAAAACAACATCAAAACTAAGAATCACACCCTAAACGGAATTGATTTAAAATATGAACTTTAAGTTTTCAAATCACTCCCAACGTGCCGAATCATACTTAGACTACTCGGAGTAGGCGTCACTCTGGCGCATCTGGATGGGCAAAATACTCTCCCCTTAACTGCGATCCTACCCCAAAAAAGAATCGAAGAAAAATACACTTATGCCACCAAAATCGCCACAACCTCTGGCTCAACTTCACCCGATCATCGGCCCAATCGGGAGTCTGTAAAGGCCATACATACAACTCACAATGGAATGCCTGCTGTTCTTTTCAAGTCATCGAATTACTGTGAATCATGGAAGCAGAGTGCAAGCTTACTATAGTTGACAGATTCTTAAAACCTAGACCCCAAATCAATCGCCTAAGGTCGAAAATCAAAGAACTTTTCTCTATAAAAGGCTCAGTCAAAATTGTAGTCTACGACAACAATAATGTGTTCTTATATTTCACCAAGGAGGATGACTTTAACACGGTCTAGTATAGTCGGGTCATTGAGATTGAAGGGCAACAAATGTGGCTTCAAAAATAGTCACCTGACTTCAAGCCGGAAGAAGACCTTCCGATTGCGCCGATATGGGTTCTTCTACCTGGTCTCCTTTTTCATATGCACACATGGTACTATGTCAAACAAGTGGTGAGCGAAATTGGCACCCCCTTGAAATAGACCTGGCGACTAGGGGGAAAATAAGGCCAAGCATGGCCAAGGTTAGAGTTGAAATATACCTCCTAAAGCCTCAACCTGAATTTGTTTATGTTGGTTGCATATATAAAAACTCTCCACAGACAGTATTTGTCCAAAAATTAGAGTACGGGGGAATACCAAAATACTATAAGCACTGTAAAAAGCTTGGACATAATATGCTCAATTGTCGGGTTCTAGAAAGGAAAAAAGCAGCTGAAATTAAGGAGGATGAATCCAAGAAAGGGAAAGAAAAAGAGGATATTAAAATGACGTAAAGAACTTAACCAAGGAACAATCAAACGACCAAGGAGGCAAAAGAAACAAATGAGGAAAATAGTGCCAAGGAAGCAAGGCAGAATATCAAGAACTTGAAGAGTGATAATTGTGGAGGAGCAGTTCTTACAATTGAGCTATATAGTCGGGCTCACCAAAAAAAGCTAGTGTCTAAGGATGATATGATTGAAAGAGGCAGTGATACAAAGCATAAGGAGCAAACAATTAAGGCAAGAACTTCCAGAAGAAGCAAGACTAGAAAGCAAAAGAGACATCCTAATAAGAAGTCCAAAGTTACTTTCAAACCTATTCTTAATAAGTTTTTACGCAAGCTAAAGGAAGGGAAAAAGTACAAGAGCATTGAATTTGAATCACAACAAGAACAGGAAAAGGAACAAAACAGGGAAGAAATTGTAGAGTCGAGGGCTGGAAATGAAAAAGAATCGCATCAGGATACTAGCAACAATTGTGTAAAGATCAACTTTGATAGTAAATGGGCAAATTCTATTAATACAGATGACGTGGTACATGAATCCACCAACATTCAAGAAGCTGAAAAACTTGAAGAAGCTCAAGGAAATCAACAAGTGAACAACTATTAGAAAGAGGATAAAACTTCTTCTAGTGTGCCTACTAAAATTAAAGCCATGCCAGGTGTTGATCTGGTGGTGGATGTAAATTGGAATCCTAATCAGGAGCAAGAAAAGAGAACCCAGGAAAGAAAAGAGGCCGACCACCAATTTGAGGTTACCTCTCCAAATAGAGTTACAGTTGTCATCCCGGAGGACCAACTGAACACTGAACAGGGGAATCGGGATGAAAATGAAAGCTTCACTCATGTTCAAAAAGGCAGAAACAAGAAAAAATGAAAGAAAACCAAAGAAAAGAATTCAATTCCTTTTGATGGAAGGAGAAAAAACTGATTTTCCCTTTACATTATTTCCATGATTAGTGCCATATATTGAAATATTAGAGGAGTTGATTCAAAAAAGGCCATTCAAAGGCTAAAAAAACTTATGAACATCAATAAGGTCAACCTTGTGGCGATCTTAGAACCTTTTATCAATATGACCAATATTGGTAGGTATATGAACTACCTGGGGCTTCAACACTGCATATCCAATACGAATGGTCATATTTGGCTCATGTGGAAGGGAAGTTTCCGAACCAGTGTGATGGCTAATGAATATCAGCAAATTACTATTAAAGTACACCATGCAGGTACTAGCACTGATCTCTATATAACTGTTGTTTATGCCAAGTGTACACCAGTGAAAAGAAAAGAGTTGTGGAGCAGTCTTGAAGATATGCACTACCATATTAGTGGCCCATGGCGTATCAGAGGCGACTTCAATGTCATACTCGATCCAGTCGAGAAGAAAGGGGGGAAACCCCATAGAATGCATAAAAGTCTTGATTTTTGTAATGCATGGATAATTGTGAAGTTGTGGACTTGGGTTTTATTGGTCCAAAATATACTTGGTGCGGGGAGCCAAAGAAAAGAATTTGGATGAGATTAGATAGGGTCTTTATCAATGATCAATGGTCCCATCTCTACTCTAAAAATATGGTGAATCACCTTCCAAGAACAGGATCAGACCATAGACCAATTCTAGTGAGAAGTGAAAATGACTTACATATGTGAATCAAGTATGTCAAGTTCTTAAATTTTTGGGCAGATCAATCTTCCTTCATGAATTTGGTTGAACAAGTATGGTCTACTCACATTACTGGCAACCCAATGTGGAGACTTCAACAAAAACCCAAACTACTTAGTAAGAAGTTGACTCAATGGTCCAGAGAAGAGGTGGAGAATGTTTCTAATAATGTTAAGTTATGGGAGGCCAAAATGCAAGAGCTGGAAGAACATGACACCCTAAACAACAATAACCAATCCAGGTAAGCTCTTAACAAAGTCCAGGCACAATACATCATATGGCTAGGAGTGCAAGATTCCATCCTAAAACAAAAATTCAAGATCAACTGGTTCGAGGAGGGTGACTCCAACACTAAATATTTTCATAGTGTTATCATGGAAAGAAAGAGGAGATTACAATTGAACAAAATCAAGGATCGCATAGATCACTGGGTTCAGGGTGATGATAATATTGGCAAAGCTGCGATTCATCATTTCAGCAATTCTTCAATCTGAAACACAACTTCAATGATCAGGGGATTCTCAGTCATATTCCTAAATGCATTACAGAAGAGGACAACCTTATTCTCACTGCTATTCCAGAGTGAGAAAATAAGGGAGGCTGTCTTTAGTATGAGTTCTTTTAGTTCTGCTGGCCCGGATGGCTTTAATGTCACTTTGTATCACAAATGCTGGGATATCATCAAAGAGGATATTAAAGAGTTTGTCCAAGAATTTTTCAATGGGAAGAACATGACCAAATTTTACTCTCACACTTGCTTGGTTCTCATCCCCAAGGTTGATTCACCGACCAACTTCTTAGAGCTTAGACCTATTAGTCTGAGCAATTTCTCCAGTAAGATCATTTCTAAAATTCTGTCCAGAAGATTGAATCCTATGTTGTAAAAAATTATTTTTGATAATCAAAGTGGCTTTGTTAAAGGAACAATGATCACTGAAAATGTTCTACTGTCTCAAGAAATATTTCATAACATCAGGCATGTTAACAAAGGAGTCAATGTCATCATCAAATTGGATATTACTAAGGCTTATGACAGAATGTCTTGGAATTTACTTTTTGCTACCATGAGGAAATTTGGATTTATTGAGGAATGGATTGATACTATATATAGGATTGTGGCTGGTGTTTGGTATTCCATTATAATTAATGACAACAGAGAAGATTTCTTCACTTCCACTCAAGGCCTCAAACAAGGAGATCCCCTTTCACTTTTCATCATTGGAGCAATAGTGCTTTCAAGATCTCTAAATGGTTTGATCTCTATGGATGATTTTACTCCATTTAGCATGAACCACAATGGACATGTTATCAATCATCTGGCATAAGCAAATGATATTGTGATATTCAGCGCTGGAAACAACAGATCTATCAAATTAATTAAACAACTATTAGAAGGTACGAGAAGGCTTCAGGGCAGAAAGTGAATGAGGATAAGAGTTTCTTCATCACTGCCCCAAACACTTCTGCTAACCGGATCAACAGAATCAGGTAGGGCTTTGGCTTCATGGATAAAGAAGTTCCTTTTAACTATCTCGGATGCCCTATATATCAGGGAAGGAAAAGAATCAGCTTATTTGACAACTTGTTATCCAGAATTATCAAAAGGCTCAGCGGCTGGCAAGGTAAAATACTTTCTTATGGGGGAAAAATTATTTTAATCAAACATGTCCTCCAATCCCTCCCCATTTACACTCTTTCGGCTCTTAAACCCCCAAAAGGCACTATCAATCTCAATGAAAAGTATTTCTCTAATTTCTTTTGGGGCTCTTCTGAGGGTAAAAAGAATTATCAGTGGAATTCATAGAAAAATCTTTGCTATCCTAAGGAGGAAGGTGGTATAGGCATCCAAAGTATGCAAGACATTACTGAATCCCTTAACATCAAAAGGTGGTGGATGTTTAGGACCAAGTCCTCTCTCAGACAACCGTCCTTAAATCCAAATATTGCAAAAGGTCCCATCCAGTGTTCAAAATTCCAAACTCCTCAGATTCACATAGTTGGAAGACCTTGATGAACAGTAGGAGCAAGGCAGAATCTAATATCCTCTGGAAAATACAATCCGATACCTTTAGTTTTTGACTGGACTGGTGAAGGTACCTTAGCTAGAATTATTCAAGGCAATTGTAAGCCTGCTAAATTATTGGTGAAGGAATACATTACTAATAGATAATGGGATATTAACAAGCTATCCATAGTGGTTCCTGATTATATTATTGGTAAGATCACTAGTGTGGACATTGAAGACCAAAATCTTGATGATTTCCCTGTATGAAAAGTCTCTGAAGATGGTCTTTTCTCTAAAAAAAGCTCATGGCATTCTATTAGAATATACAGGCAGAACAATGATTTCCTCAGTAAGGTTTGGCACAACTCTATTCCTTTCAAATTGTCCTTCTTAATATGGAGACTTTTCAAAAAAAGATTACCCTTTGATGACATCTTAGGGAAATTTGGTACTAATGTTGTTTCTAGATGTATTTTGTTGTAATAGTTCATAGGTTGAATCAATGCAACATGTTTTCAATGGAAGTGAAGTGGCAAAGTTCATTTGGAATGTGATTGGACAACCGTTGGGTCTGAAACATCAACTAGAACCAGTCATTGGCACATATAAAAGATAGTACGAGATGAAGACAAAACATACAATTCACAAATTGGTTATGCAGGTGGCACAAGTGATCATCTGCTGGGAAATATGAAAACAATAGACTTCATGTAGATTTGGAAACAAAAATAAATTTCAACACAGTACATTGAAATATCAATGCATCTGGACTGTTAAAAAGGTGGTTTCAAGCAAGCTTCCAGAGACGGATAGAGGTCTATAGTGGCCCGCTCTTTGTGAAAAAATAGAGAGGTTGCAACCAATTCGAATATGGACGCAAGTGATCTGGGAATTTCCTCCAACAAGAACAGTCAAAGTAAATATAGATGGAAGCTATATTAAAGAGGATGGTAGAACAGAAATTTAAGGTATAGTGAGGGACAACATAAGCAACATGATCATGGCCTTTTCTGTGCCAGTAAAGAGTGAAAGCAACAACATGACTGAAGCACTAACAATGGAGTTCGGGGTAAAATGGTGCTTCCAACATGGGTACACTAATTTTACTCTTGAACTCGACTCCCTGATTATAGCCAATATGTTGATCAACCAAATTACTAACAATATGAAGGTCAAGCAGATTTTGGACAGGACACTTAGCATTATGTCACGGTAAACCATTGCTTCAGAGATGGCAACTTGGTTGCATATAGCTTAGCCAAAATTGCCTCTTCATCTAGTCAAAGACTTGTATGCAACAACTTCCAGCAACTACCAACTGTAGCCAAAAGTGTGTTCCTTCTTGATAAGTGGCTACTGCCGAGTTTCCGTTCAAAATTTGACAAAGCCAACTTCTTTTAAGTTAATATGTATATATGTTTATTCGTTTGAAGGATAGCATGTGCTTTTTTGTCTAGACTCCTTTCCTTCCAACTAGCTTTGGGTGAATATATCACCTAGTTGTATTCATCTCTTGAGGTAAGGTTTGGCCCCCCTACTATATGTTCTTTTTGTGAATATGACCACATCCAGACATGAATCTAGATAATTATATTAAAAGAAAAAGGAACCAAGTATTCCGATTTCAACCCGTACCCTTCCAAATCCCGAACTAACCATCCCCGCAAGTCATAAAACAGTAAAATCACATACGTGGAGTCTTATTTAGGGGAACAAGGTTCTAGAAAGCAAAATAACCGGTCGGGTCGTTACATTCTCCACCTCTTAAACAAACGTTCGTCCTCGAGCGGGTCTAGAATCATACCTAGAATGCTGAATAAGTGTGGATATTTGCTCCACATGTCCTCCTCGGACTCCCTAGTCGCCTTCTCGATAGGTTGGCCCCTCCACTGAACCTTTATCGCGGAAATACTATTGGACCTCAACTGGTGAACCTGCCTATCATCAATGACAACTGGCTTCTCCTCACAACCCAGGTTCTCATCTAAACCGTGTTGAAGTCTAACACATGTGACCTGTTAGCATGATACCTCAAGACTATAGACACGTGAAAAATCGGATGAACTCCTGATAGACTGGGAGGCAATGTAAGCTCATAAGTAACCTCCCCAACTCGTATCAATACTCAAATGGGCTTATAAACCTTGGGCTCAACTTTCCCTTCTTCCCGAACCTCATGAACCCATTCATCGGCGAGACTTTCAAGAGAACCTTCTCACCCACCATAAATGATAAATCAAGCGCCTTCTGATCCGCGCAAATCTTCTGTCTGGACTGTGCTGTGCGAAGTCGCTCCTGAATCAACTTTACCTTTACCAGGGCATCCTTCACCAAGTCAGTACCATATAACTTAGCCTCGCCCGTCTCAAACGATCCAATGGGAGAATGACATCGCCGATCATATAAAGCCTCAAATGGAGCCATCTCGATGCTTGACTGATAACTGTTGTTGTAAGAAAACTCGGCCAAAGACAAGAATCAATCCCACTACCCTCCAAAGTCAATCACTCATGCTCTGAGCATGTCCTTCCATGATCTGAACTGTCCGCTCCGACTGCCTGTCAGTCTGTGGATGAAAGGCTGTGCTAATCTATACACGGGTCCCCAACTCACTCTGTACTTCTCTCCAGAAATGCGAAGTGAAGTGGGGGCCTCTATGTGATATGATGGAAACATGCACACCATGCAACCGAACTATCTCCTGAATATAAATCTGGGCCAACCTCTTTGAAGTACACGTAGTCACAACCAGAATGAAGTGTGCCAACTTGGTCAACCTGTCGACAATGACCCAAAATGCATCAAACTTCCGCAACAACCCAAATACGAAGTCCATAGTAATGCGCTCCCATTTTCACTCAGGTATAGTCATCTGCTAGAGTAGGCCACCTGGCCTCTAGTGTTCATACTTAACCTACTGGCAATTTAGATACCTCGCAACATACTCAACTATATCCTTCATCATCCGCTGCCACCAATAATGCTGCCTTAGGTCAAAATACATCTTCGTAGCACTTGGATGAATAGAATACTGAGAATTGTGTGCCTCCTCTAGAATTCGCTCCCTCAAGCCATCAACATTAGGAACACATAGGCAACCCTGGAGTCGCAGAACACCATCCTCGCCGATAGTAACCTCCTTGGAACCACCTTGTAGTACCGTCTCTTTGAGAACCAACAAGTGCGGATCATCAAACTATCGAGCCCTGATCTGCTCCATTAGTGAAGACCGGGCAACGACGCATGCAAGAACTTGGCTGGGCTTTGAAATATCTAACCTCATAAGTCTGTTAGCCAAGGACTGAATGTCCAAGGCTAAGGGCCTCTCCTCTGCCGAAATGAATGCCAAGCTACCCATACTCTCTGCCTTTCTGCTCAATGCATCCGCAATTACGTTCACCTTGCCCGGATGATAAAGAATGGTGATATCATAATACTTCAGTAACTCAAGCCACCTGCGCTGCTTCAAATTGAGATCCCTCTTCTTGAACAAATGCTGCAAGCTACGATGATTGGTGTAAACCTCACAGGACACCCCACAAAGCTAATGCCTCCAGATATTAAGAGCATGAATAATAGCGGCCAACTCCAGATTATGTACGGGATAATGTTTCGCATGGGGCTTCAACTGACGTGAAGCATATGCAATAACTCGCCCCTCCTGCATCAATATACAACCCAAACCAATACATGAAGCTTCGCAATACACAATGTACTTCCCCGAACCGGAAGGCAACACTAGAACTAGTGACATAGTCAAAGCTGACTTGAGCTTCTGAAAGCCCGCCTCACAATCGTCGAACCAACGGAACAGAGCACACTTCTAGGTCAATCTAGTCAAAGGTGCTGCAATGGATGAGAAACCCTCCACAAACCGGCGATAATAAACTGTTGACCCCAAGAAGCTCCTGATCTCAGTCGTCGTAGTAGGACGAGGCCAACTTTGAACTGCCTCAATCTTCTTGGGATCCACCTTAATACCCTCGCATGATACAAAATACCCCAAGAATGCTAAGGAATCTAGACAAAACTTACACTTAGAGAACTTAACATATAGCTTCTATTCCCGCAAGGTCTGAAGCACCACTCTAAAATGCTGCTCGTGCTCCTCCATGCTACGCGAGTAGATCAAGATGTCATCAATGAAGACAATGACAAACGAATCAATATACGACCTGAACACTCGGTTCATCAAATCCATAAATGCCGTCGGGGCATTAGTCAGACCCAATGACATCACTAGAAATACATAATGGACATATCTATTTCGGAAGGCGGTCTTCGGAACATCTGAATCCCGAATCTTCAACTCATGGTACCCCGATCTCAAGTTGATCTTAGAGAACACCCTACCACCCTGCAACTGGTCAAATAAATCATCAATACGCGACAATGGGTACTTGTTCTTAATGGTGGCTTTGTTCAACTGGCGGTAATTAATGCACTTTCGCATAGTCCCATCTTTCTTCTTCACAAATAACACTGGTGCACCCCAAGGTGATACACTTGGCCTGACGAACCGCTTTGCTAGCAACTCCTAAAGTTGTTCCTTCAACTCTTTCAGAGCCATATAATATGGTGAGATAGATATAGTCTGGGTACCTGGAGACAAATCAATGCAGAAATCGATATCACGATCTGGTGGCATCCCTGAAAGATTAGAAGGAAACATATCGGAGAACTCCTGGACTACGGGTACTAAATTGATCGCCGGAGTCTCTGCAGTAGTGTCCCGAACCTAAGCTAGATAGGCCAAATAAACCTTCTCGTCTATGTGTTGAGCCTTCATAAAAGAGATGAATTGACTAGGTGTGCTGACAGACGAACCCTTCCACTCTAATCTAGGCAACTTTGGTATCGCCAAGGTAACATTCTTGGCATGGCAATCAAGGATGAAGTGATATGGAGATAACCACGGAGATAACATTCTTGGTCATATCAAGCAGCAGAAGATCTGCTCTAGTCTCATAACCACGGAATATAATAATGTAGGACCGATAGACCATATCTACAACAACAGAATCGCCCACTGGAGTGGACACATAAACAGGAGTACCCAAGGACTCACGTGGAACATCAAGGTAATGAGAAAACAGAGATGACACATATGAATAGGTAGACCCTGGATCAAATAATACTGAAGCATCCCTACTACAGACATAAATAATACCTGTGATCATGGCATCTAAAGCCACTGCATCTGGTCTAGCCGAAAAAGCATAGAATCTAGCTGGAGCACCACCTGACTGGCCTTCACCTCTAGGACAATCCCTACCCACCTGCCCTCCGCCTCTAGGAGGCCGGATGGCTGGTGCGGCTAATGGTGCTACAATCATAGGCTGAGAACCGTTGCACTGCCTTGTCCCGAAGCTTGGAAAAGAACCTCTACACATGGCTAAATTTCACGCACTCGAAACAACCTCTCAGTAGGAAGGATTGTTGACCTGAATTTTGACCCTGATGGCATGAATACCCACTAGAGGAACCCTGAATAGCTGGTGAGTAGTAGGAACTCTCTAGTATGGCGCTGAAATAAGGTCGAACTGGAGCACCCCGAGGAAGCGGTAGTGTTGGATACGTGGGTCTACTAGGTGGACCTCTCCCGAACGGACCCCCTTCCCCCATACGGAGCACCAATGAACACTCCAGAATAACGAAACCGCTTATCCCCCGGCATCTGCTCTCGACCCCGCTAGCGATAACCCTCAAACATTCGAGTTATCTCCACAACCAGCTGGTAAGAAGTCCCTATATCAAACTCTCAGGCCATGGTGGCCTGAATACCAGAGTACAACCCCGCAATAAACCTCCGTACCCTCTCTGCCTCAGTAGGAAGTATCATAAGTGCATGGCGAGACAACTCAGAGAATCTCGCCTGATAAGCGGTTACTGACATCTGACCCTGCTAGAGCTTCTCAAACTGAAACCGCAACTCTTCCCTTTGGGAGGGTGGAATATAACTATCCAAGAAAAGGCGTGTAAACTGATCCCAAGTAAAGGGAGAAGAACCTGCTGGTCTGCCAAGAAGATGAGACTTCCACCATCTACGGTCCTTGCCCTCCAGTTGGAAAGTAGTAAAATCTACCCTGTGGGTCTCTAATATCCTCATGTTGTGCAGTCTGTCCCTACACCGATCAATGAAGTCCTGGGGATCCTCATGTCGCTCACCTCCGAAGAGAGGAGGGTGTAGTCTAGTCCATCTATCCAATAGCTTCTGTGGCTCGCCGGCCGCAGTTGGTCTAGGCTCAGGCATGGCTGCTGCTACTGGCTAGGCTCCACCCACGGGTAGTGTGCCCGGGGTCTGATATACAGGAGCTGCATGCCCACGAGCCTGAGCAGTTAGGGTCTGTGCTCCCCCTCTAGCCTGAATTATGGTTGGGTCTGCTGGAAATAAACCATCCTGGGTCATAGTATCCATGAACTGTAGCGTACGGCCTACGACCTTCTAGAATCCCGGTGCTGAAATGAAATCTACCGAGCTGGCTC